CCCCCCACACACACACGCACGCACAGGGTGTCAGGAATCATCTGAGCAACTCCTATTGTTTGGGCCATAAAAACCCACCAGCTTCTGCAATATGATTCATCAGCATCACCACAGAACGTCAGCCTGCTCAGAGCGAGCCGCGGTGGCATACAAAACTTTAATAAAGAGTACCAGGAGGGGACAGCATGGAGAGGGTCAATGTGGACTGTGAAGATGATTTCCTAATTTCCACCCAGGGCTTACCCTTAGTTAAAAATGTTTCATTGGGTCAAAGTCACTTTGTTGTCTAGGCAATCGTAAACAGTCCCCATCATTATAGGAAGAAGAGAGGTTCTCCTTCCTCCGGCCCCCCTCTCTCCTCCTCCCCTCTTTCTTCTTTCTCACCTCCAGCTTTTTATTGGGTTCGTGCTCTATTTATACAGATTTATTTGGCTTCCGTCAAACCATTTTATGCCTCTATATTCCTTTTGCATGGCATAAAAATAAATAAAGCAAGGAGAAATAGCCCCATCCTGCTTAAAAGCCCTCTTTCCTTCTGTTTTCAAAGCCTTAACAAATCATCAAGCAATGAGCTAGGACTGAAGGTAAATTGCGTGTGCAGTAAGGGATGGAAAGGGCAGGATATCGAAACACAACACAGATAACAGTCAGAGCCTCCCTTCATCCCAGGTGCTCAGCAGAGGGGATGCTCCTGAAAGGAAGCCTTGACAGGAGCCATCAGTAAGTCGGCACTGCCCTGCTAATGGAAAAGGTACCACTTACTTGGAAAGCCAGAGGGAAAGGCACTGAGAAAACATGGCATGGATCAGCACCACATGGGGAAAGCAATCACATTCTCCATCAGTAAATAAACTGCCAGGAAAGATTTTTATTGAAAAGAACAGTTTTGAGTATAAACTTCATTCAATGAAATGTCATTAAAGTTATTATTGCATATTATAAATCATGCCCCAGTGTGATCTAGGCTTATAATCTTAACTATGGTCTTTCTATCAATTCTGCCTCACCATTGCTCCCATGTCACTGTCACAGTTAATTGCACTCTCTTGTGTGGTGCCCTTAAGGCTGCCCACACATTTAGAAAAAGTATCTTTCTAAATAAGCTCTCCTTGAATTATCCTAATTTGAGTGCTCCATCTGTTTACTGTTGGGAGTCTGTTAGGGAGAACTTTCTACACTATGTTGTCCAAAATGGACCCACTAAGTTACATGGGGCTATTTAAATTTTAACTAATTAAAATTAGGGATAATAAAAATTTAATTCCTCAGTTCCTTAATTTAAAGTAAGCAATAGCCACATGTGTCTAGTGACTACTGTATTGTACAGCGAACATATAGAACATTTCCCTCATCTCAGAAAGATGTTTTGGACAGCACTGTTTTAAAATATACCTTTTGTTTTTAACTGTATAATAAGTCTCTATCTTTATTTACACAAGTCACCCTTTATTTGAGAATAAAATAGCAAGAAAAAACACAAAACCCCAACCCTCAAGGTGTTTACTCT